TAAAAATTTTCATTGATGTGTGTACCTTGATGCCACTGCTCGAATCCAGTAGTCTTTGGAGAGCTATTGTGTAAATACAGCTTCTGATCCAAATGCACTGGTTGGTCTGGGGTAAACTGTATGTATGTGTGTGTGTGTGTGTATATATATATATATATATATATATACACACACATATGTATATGGATAATATTGATACTAATTTAGGGACTCTAGTTCATATATTAGAAATATGTGTAAAAATTTGTTAGTTGGCTGAACTCAGAGGGTTGGGCTTTCCAGACCTTCAGGTCCCTATGGTTTCAAGAGCCCAAACCCACAACTTTCCTGAAAGAAGGGCAGATGAAATCTGTGCCTCTTGGGGTGGATTTAGAGATTCACAGAATGGCAAGCCTGAAAACCTGAAGTTTAAAACTTCTGATCACAGAAGGACGGTTCCTGCTACGCCTCAAGGTCTGCAGTTAGAGAACAGATTGAATGCTTTTGTAGGTGATGGGGGTTTTGGTGCTCAGTCCAGTGAAGCACCCAAGCTGGTAAATCTGAGCCATGCAGAAGCACCAGGAGAAAGTGGGAAGTGGTAACAGTAGGGAAATTCCCTTCTGCAAGTGTTCGAGACTCCCATCTGCTGGCCTGACCCGACCTGACCTGTCATCTAGAGAGACTTGTTGACTTTCAGGATCTGGAACACTGTGGTAAGACTGCCAAAGCTTCTCTGGCTTCACATTACTACTCCCTGCTGCTCTCCCATGTAGGTTTCAATTATATCACCTGAAGGAATCTGAAATTATCAGCTGGATTGTATAGTTCTGGGGTGATGACCAAGAGTGTGGGAGCCTGAGTGGATTCTCCTTGATCCTTTGGGTTAGAGCAAAGTACTCTAGCTGAGCACTTTGATGAGTGGAGAGATCCTGTGAGTAAGCTGGTTACATAGATGGTGTCAGCAACAGAATTCTAGTTTTATGATCATGAGGGTCTTTTTGAGGGTTGCTTGGAAGATATGGGATTCACCTGATTAAAACAAAAGCATCTCTGCTAGCTATCTTGTGAGCAATTGGTGGACCAGGTTGGCAAACAAAATGTGATAAAAAACAATGGAGACCTTGTAATCAAAAAAATCAGGACTGATGGAGGCCTTTCCCAAACATACCCATACAAACAAGGAAGTGCTTTTCAGAATTACAGGGAAAACTCTGCTACTCTTTCTGGGAAGTCAGCACGGATGGTTGCCTCTCTGAAATGTCTGTGTGTTCGTGCAGACAGTATGGAATGCAAAGAAGAGGAATTATATGTCTGCATGCAGTTTCAGAGTTATGATTTTGTTGAGATTGTGAAGATACAATAGGATAGTTCATATTCAATCACCCTGATATCTGCTGGAGAGATAGTGTAGCTTGTTTATGTGCTGGGTTGAGTGAGAGCAGTTCAGGAGGTTTCTGGAGTGTGTTGTCTACTGGATCTCATACCTGCAAACAATGAACTGTTGGGAGATCTGAAGGCTGAGGGCAGCTTTGGCAGAACTGACCGGGAAATGATAAAGTTCAGGATCCAGAGAAAAGGGGATAGGCAGAAAGCCAGGTTGCAACCCTGGGCTTGAAGAGGAAAGACTTTGGCCTGTTCAGGACTCTGAAACTAGTAGGAAAGTTCAGGACAAGGTAAACCTTCCCTCAGTGGAAGAGAATCAGGTTAGGGAATATTTAAACAAACTCGTCATATGCAAAGCCATTGCTCTGGTGTGGTATGTCCTGAGGGATCTAACTGATATTTGGAGGTTCCCCTTGATGGTCTTCAAAAAGTTTCTGTGATTAGTAGAGCTTCATTAAAACCAGAAGAATGTACATCCTGTCTTCAGGGAGAGCAAGAAGTCTTTTTTTTTTTTTTTTTCTGAAAACTACGGGCTGGTCAGCCCCATGTGAACCATTGAAAGATTATGGAACAAATAATTCTGGAGGCCATTTCCAAGCATATGAAGGACAAGAAGGTGGTGGGAGCAGTCAGTGTGGATTTATGAAAGGGAAGTCACGTCTGAACAATCTGTTAGTCTTCTACCATGAGATCACTGACTTG